TGACATTCTAGATTGGATGATTTCTTGCTGCCCTATATTCTTTGAGAAGATCTTGATGATCAATGTTTGAGTCTTTACTTTGGTGATCTATTGTTTCACTTTGGTCTTGATCTTGATATTGTTATTTGTCATGATCTTGATCTTAATATTTGTCTTGAACTTGATGTTAATCTTTATCTCCTAGAGATTATTTCCCCAAAATATATGCACAATCAAGAACATCTACTTCTATTGACTTAACGTTAGTTTCATAAATGGTAACATGAACTAATTATTTTATAGACAAGTTTCCTTTATTGAAAACTCTGAAAGTTTTACTAAAAGTAGAGTATCCTAAAAATAGTCCTTCACTAGCTTTAGTGTCAAACTTTCCAAGATTACCTTTCATGTTATTGAGAAGAAAATATTTGCGTCCAAACACATGGAGGTGCGAAATGTTAAGTCTCATTCCTTTGTATAACTCATAAGGGGTTTCCTTTAGAATTGATATTCTCAAGACACAATTCGTCACATAGCAAACAATGCTTACTACACCACTCCAAAAGTACTTAGGCATATTCGTTTCATTGAGCATTGTCCTTGCTAGCACTTTTAGTGATTTATTTTTCCATTACACTACCCAATTTTGTTGGGGAGTTCATGGAGTAGAAAATATGCGATCAATTACATTCTCATTACAATAGTTCTCAAAATCCAAATTTTGAAATTCACCACCATGACCACTTCAGATTGATGCAATGTTTATGTCTTTTTCATTCTAGATAACCTTGACTAATTTCCAAGACAAAAAACACATCTCTTTTATGATTTGTTCATCTCTTTCGTTGGTGCTGATCAGAGAATCACATATGCTTTTGGCAATATATGGATAAAGAATTTTGAGAAACTTCTTCAAAGAAATAGTGTTCACCATGACTGTTTTTGCTTTATGATGAATTATATACTTCTTCTTATCCTTGGAAAGTAGTCTTTTTATGCGTGTATCATCTTCTTCTTTTTTTATTGAGGGGGTATACTATGATCATTTTAAACTATATCCCAAATATTTTCCTCATGAGACATCAAGAAAATATATAACTTATCCTTTCACCAGATAAATTGTTTAACATTTCCATTGAATACAAGTGGTTTAGAAAGAAAATAATGTTTACTGTAATTTTCAAAAGAACCAGAGGAAGACTCATGTTCCACAACATACATATTTATTTGACATATTCAAATAAGAGACAAATGCTCCAATGCCAATCGAAAGTGATAAAAACATAAGAAATAGAGGGATGAGGAGTTAAATTGTGTTGGTTTTAAAATTTTTTTTTGATATATTTAAGCATCAAGTAGTAATGTAGTAATGAGTAAAGAGAATATGGAAGATAACCACACACATAATTTATAATGGTTCACATTTTTAACTAGAGGATAATCCAATATCCTCACATTTGACATATTTCCACTATAATCATACATAATTGCAGACATCACTAAGGCAACCTAGTCTTAGAATTTTTTGTCTCACACTAAAGGACTTCCTTTTCTTATAATATGTAAGGATTTATTTGCCTTAAACCTTTAAAAATTTTCTTATCTCACACTAGAGGGCTTAGGAAAAATTACAAAGGGATTTATCTACAACTCACAAAATTGATAAACTTAATATAACATAGTTACAAATGTTTAACTTTCCTAAGAAAGAATAATGAATAAATGAGCACTTGTGTCTAGGTGTTTGTTCTTTGATAATATTACAATGTCTTAAAAAGTTCAAAAATATCCAAAATATTTTAGTGACATAACAATAATACAATAGTCAATCATGGTAAAGTGTGCAACTTTCAACATTTGAAGTTGTCCTTTATATAGGACTTGGAAATTCCAAAATTTCATGCTAGTTGTCATTGCCAATCATTTGGTCATTGAGAATGGAGTTGGAATTGTATCATCTCTACAAAGCTTTATCCATTCATCCATATGTAATGGTAATTATCCTTTTATTCCATGTACTTGCATAGTTGTCATGATGTGACCATTAAGAGCATTCTTTATGATGACATAGCATAACAAGTCTTTGTCATTTAGGTATATGTGACCATATCTTCATCTGAACACTGGTTGTCAATTGTATTGAGTACAAATGATCATTTTTACTTTGAGGTGGATGACTCTGTTATCCTGATACATATGATCAACCTTGTTGACGTAGACACAAATGATCATTCCCTTTCTCTATACAATCAAATTTTTAAGTAAATGCAATTGATCATTCAATCAATCGTGTTGACTATGGTGATCATATAAACTTGAGGGCTAGGTGATGAAACTTGTTGACTTTTCTACAAATGACCATTTCATCTATGGGCGATCATGACTCTATTTCTCGTAGATGATTGTATGTCGTTCTACACATAAAACCGAACATATTAGAAAATCAATTTTTATTAATTATATTGTTATAATTAACCATATGAAAAACATAAATTAAAAATAAAATAGTAAAAAAAAGGTTAAAAAATAATAAGAGATATAATAGATAATAACAATATTAATAATTTATTAATATTTTAAATGACATAAATTGAAACAATTTTTTATATGAGAGTGGTAATATTGGGATTGAGTATTTTCTTAAAGTGTATTGTTATTTGGACACATTTTATAGATATCATGCATGAACACCTACAAAATACAAATAAACTCCATAAAATAGAGTAAAATTTACTTAAAGAAAGTAAATAAATTCTTATTATATCAAGATAAGTTGTCTATTAACGAGTGTCCAAAAATCATTTCCATTTTTCATTGTTTGTACTCAAATCATATAAAAATATCAAAAGGTGAAAGTGAGGAGGAAGCTAAGAGAACCAAGATTTTGCAAGTTAATTTCTTTAAAATTATGTTAGAGAGAGAAACTCTCCCTTCTCTCTATATTTCTTAGTCATTGGTTAGGGTTTATTCTTTTTTCTGATGGATAGTACCAAAGTTAACTTGGAATTTGATGAGTGGATGAAGGTCTATTACCTTAAAAAGTCAGGTAAGAGGGGAAATTGGGATAGAGAGGATAGGTCCAAGAGGAAGAAGGTCATGGAGTCAAAAATTATTTTCTTTATTGAGTTTCCTGATCAAATGAGAGCTAAAGACCTATATCAATTATTCAAAGAGTTTGGAGGTATTGATGAGGTAGTTATTTTCCCAAAGAGCGACAAAAGAGGAAGGAAGTACAATTTCGTTTGCTTCTTTGAGGTTAAGGATGAAATATGCTTGATCTTGAAACTTGATAACTTGTTAATTGAGGGGAGGAAGCTATTTGCTCACCTTCTTAGGTTTTAAAGAGCTATGATGGGTGTGTTTTTGTCTGGCAAGTTTGTTGTGAAAGGCAATAGAGGTGGAGCTATACTGGAAAGAAATATAGGAGTTCGGACCTCTGGGACTCCCTTAGAGAACTTTAAAGCTCTAGGTCTAACTAAAGGGGTGAGTACATATGCAAAATTCACACGTAATCTAGTTGATCATCATGCAGAATCTTCTTTTCAGAACAAGTTTTCTCAGCAACTTGTTTTTGAAGTTGGTAAGGAGGAGGTGAAGAGGTTTAAGAAAGCATACGTTGGGATGGTTTTATCTCCAAGGTCGTCGCACAACATGCAAAGAAACTTTCATTCAAAAGAGAACAAAGAAGGTAAGTTGAAGGCTTTATTAGAGGGTGCGAATGATTGGATATGCCAATGGTTTTCAGAGGTCAAAATTTGAAACATTGAGACCGCTAATACAAAGAGACTTACATGGTTGAGGTGTTATAGAATCCCTTTCCATGCTTGGTCTGTTCCATTTTTTTTGTCTTTTTGTCCTCAATAATTGGAAAATATGTTTTTTGCAATGAGAACAAGTCCAAATTTTCCAAGTTAGATGTGTCCAGTATCATGGTTAGGACCGCTTCTGGGATTTTGATTAATGAGGTGTTCAAGATTAGCATTAATATAGTTGTTTTCAGAGTTAGAGTGGTAGAAGAAACACTTGGTCCGACCACTAAAATGGTGAAGAAATTCACCCCTGTTAATTTGGATTCAAATTCGGATTTTGAAGATTCATTGGTCCTTGAGATTTCTTCATGGGTGGAGTCCGATGGGTAGGAGGTAGGTTTATAGGATGAAGAGGTTATCGATTCTCGAGGGAAAAAAGGCGTTGAGTCTTTTCAGGAGGATTTTTCTAAAAAGGGTGTTTTTGTTTTCAATGATGTTAGTTATAAGTTGAGGGAATAAGCCATTTTGAAGCAAAAAGTAGGAATTTATTTCAACGAGCATGGGTCCAGCTCTGTTGGCATAGAAGTTAATCACATGTCTTTCTCCTATAGGACTGAGGATGTTGATGTAGAACCATTGATTCGGGTGAGTCCCCATAAAGGTACATGGGTTGTGTAGGACTATTTGGATATGGATAAGGCCCGTGGAGTTATTTTTGATATGGATAAGGCCCGTGGAGTTATTGAAGGCCCAATTGGACCATAATTCTGTTTTTGTTATGGATCTGAGGAAGGGGGGGGGGGGAAGGGAGTCGTATTAGAGTGACTTCTTCTATCAGGACGTCAGAAGGTTTAGGGGAGAAGTTAAGTTTCGTTGGGGGTTCTTTCCCCTCTTCGAATCCGATCCTTTTTATTTCTTCTTTTTCAGTTGGGGAGAAGAACCTTTCCCTTCCATCAGTTCTCAGTGTTTTTGCTGATCATATTAGCAGTATTAGTTCTAATCCTCCTAAGTCGAAGAAGATTATTAGTAAGGATTTTGTGTCTGAGGAATCACTCCAAAGATGTCATTCTGTCATCGATTCAAAGGTTGTTCAAGGCAACAAGAGGTTTTGGGCGGAGATGGAATCCAAGTTGTTGAAGAAAGTCTTGGAGATTATCTCTTCTCTAGGTATTTAGGGAGAGAGAAGTAAGATTATCATGAAGATATTGGTTTGATGGAGGAAAGAGATAAGATAGGCAAATCAAAGAGGGAGTCTAAAATATTGGTTGCTCAATGAGTCTTTTACCTATCAATATTAGAGGTGGAGGTAATATAGTCAAGTGGAAGAGTATAACTCATCTAATTAAACCTGGTAAGGTGGATATTTGTTTCATCCAAAAAACTAAACTTGTTGTTTTGGATGAATCTATTGCTCCTTTGTTGTGGGGAAGTTATGAAGTGGAGTGGTCTGAAGCTGAGCCTATTGATGGGGTAGGGGGTGTAGCTATTTTATGGAGGAAGGATTTGCTCAAGTTGTCTTTTAGTTTTAGAGGAATTGGCTTCGTGGGGGTTAATGCTAAGTGGAGGGGTCAAGAGTTATTTTTTGTGAATATTTATTATTCGTGTAATCTGGCTCTCAAGAAGATGTTATGGAGGAAATTAGTTGCTTTGAAGAAAATTTTTGGTAGGGGCTAAATAGGGGGATTTCGACGCAGTCTATAATAATAAATATAGGATTAAGGTGACTGTAAGGGGGAGAAAATGGAGATGAATGAGTTCAACATTTTTATTGAAGATCTAAGTTGTATTAATGTTCCTTGTGTGGTAGGCTCTTTTACTTGGTTCAATAGTGCAAGCACCTCTATAAGCAGGCGAGATAGGTTTTTGTTGTCTGAGAATTTGATTGAAGATTGGAAGATTGTAGTTAAGTATGTGGGAAACAGGGATATCTCAGACTATTGCCCTATTTGGCTTAAAGCGAACATTGAAGATTGGGGTCCTAAGCCGTTTAAATTTAATAATAGTTGGCTTAATCATCCTGATTTCTAAAAGTTTATCAAGAAAGAGTGGAAGTCTTTCAAGGTTTCAGGTAGAGGTGCTTATGTGTTGAAACAGAAATTGAGACATCTTAAGACTTGTTTGAAGACGTGGAATGTTAAGGTTTTTTGTTTGGTAGATTTGAAGGTGGATGGGGAGGTGCAAGATCTTAATGACCTTGATTCTTAGGTTAGTATTTTAGGCTTCTATAATTTTGGAGAGTCGGCTTAGAAAAGGTTGTTAGCATCTGTGGAAGTTTGGAAACAACTTAATTTGAAGGAGGGCATGTTAAGGCAGAAATCTAGAGATTTGTGGTTGAAGGAATGGGATATGAACTCTAGTTTTTTTCCATAAAGTGATGAAAGCAATACTTAAAAGAAACTTCCTATCTTTAATCAACACTGTCACTATGCAAAAAATTAACACATAGTCACCATCAAACTTTATTTATTCCAATGGGGAAAGGAAAACATCGAGAAAACCTCAGAAGGGAATGAACATGGTCACGCAACCAAATTCGGGTTCGGAAGTCAATTACGCGAGAGGAAAATGTTAGCACCTCTCACGTCTGTTGTGCTGAACGGGATTGACTGTTTTTGTTCTAATCAAAGAGTGTGTATATCTAAATACTTACTTGATAAGGGAATGTAGGAATGGGTTAAAAGGGAAAAAGAAAGGTTTTTATTATTGAGTTCGTCCGAGTTCTGCAACCTAGTGCCTACGTATCCCAGAGAGAATCAGAACCCTGTAGTTCTTATTGAAAACATTTGGTTTGTTGTGTGTTTTTATGGACAATTCTAAGTTCGTATCCTAGCAGTTAGTGACATTATCTGTTTGCGGTTGAATGGAAGTAGCATGCCCTTTTTGAAAAGGTTTTAAAGGGAAAATCTATAAGGTAAAATGGTTTTAAATTTGTGAAATGTTTTGCTAGGCGATAAGAAAAAGAGGTTTGAGATAATTATCACACCTAAGTCTATGACAATAGGAGTGAATGTGTTGTACAAATGAGCCAAGTGTCTCACGTACAACAAACCCTAAGAAGAGGTAAATAAAACTCTCACTCATCTTTTCTCATGTACTTAAGGCTCGTGATGCATAATACGTATTGTATTGGTTAAGTATTTTTTAAGAAAAGATTTTTTGTTTTATGAAAAGAGAAGGAAATTCAGTCCTAGTGTTATTATACTTGGATCAAAACTTAAGGTTGAGTTTTAGGGGAGCCCTAGCTAATGTTATCATACCTGGGTGAAAGACTAAAGTCTAATCCTAATTCAACTTATCAAAGAGAAAGTTGAATCAAAATGTTCTAAGGGTCTGTTTGGATTGATGGAAAGGGATGGAATGGAATAGAGTGGAGTGGAGTTATGTTCCATTATTTGGATTTACAAAAATTGACTGCAATGGAATGGAGTATGATGGAACACATTCCATCCAATACCACTATTTTGACCCATTTTTCATTTCCCCCAAATTGGGGTGTATCCAATAGAATGGAATCAATTAATAAAACAATTACAATTTTATCCTCCAAATTTTCACTTTTATTGTTAACCGTTCATATTCCTTATTTCAATCAACGTGATATTTTTCTATTCATTCGCTGCAATTTTTCTCCTTCACAAGTCTTCTTCTTGCTTGCAAAGAGTCTATCTTTATTCTACCCTAACAAGATACATCATATTTCTTCTCATTTTTTTACCTGTATTTATATGTGTGCTCTATTAAATTAAATATTGTAAGTGCTCTTGATTGGCTGCATTTTATGGCAAAACTTTAGAGTGTGCATGTATGTCATACTAAATGTTAGGACATACTTAATGATGTGTGTGCAGGGTAATTTAACTATAAGTTAACTTAGTTAAGCTGAATGTCATACAAAATGTCATAACACTGAACGTATGACATCCAGCGGGCAAGTTTGTTTTTCTGGTAGCTACAAACCAGGAAACATAATAGGAGCTTAAGCTGGATATCAGGAGATTTTCTAGAAGCCCTAGGCGATCTAAAAGATCCCTGAATTAAGTGGCAAGCGTGCAGATCATGGAAAATAGGTTTGTTATGAATAAAACCTAATTTATGCACCAAGGCCCAAAAGGACTGATAGATGCTATAAAGATCAGAAGATGCAATCCTGAACAACAGCACTTGACAACAGAAGAAGAAAGAGTGCAGATTGAAGAGTCTTTGTAAGTGAAGAAGGCTAGTCTTCACATGTGAATTCTGTCTAGGAGTACTTGTACTCCAAGAAATTATCTGGTGGATGATTTGCATTGGATAGGTAGATTCTAGGTTGTGTCTCACTCAAAGCTGTGAAGCAAGAGTGTGTGAGTTCCTTGATCAAAGTTGTGAAGCAATATCAAGGTATGTATGAAGTGTCTCTTCATATTTAGTCTGTAATTGTTTGATATTACTGTTGTGTGATTGAGGGGGAATGAGTGGGTATACTCAGGTCTAGAGTGTTTCTATGCTGAATTGTCATTGGGTAGGTTTTAAGTGAGGAGTGCAAACTGTGTTGTTTGACTATGAATTAATTCTGCTAATAGTGAAGTTCCTCCCTAGCTTGGTAGCCCCCAGATGTAAGTGTTGTTGACACTGAACTGGGTAAACAATTGCTGTGTTATTTACTGCTTTTATCATTACTGATTATTAGCTATTAAGTAGCAGATGTCACAGTGGATGTTATAACTTTGGGAATAACATCCATCGTGTGCTTGCCCGAATTTTCAATTGGCATCAGAGCAGGCACCCTGCCTGTTTAAATCTGGGTGAGATCTAGGGAAAATAAATTCTGGTACAATGGATAAAGATATAGGATTCACTAATAGACCTCCAATTCTGGATGAATCTAATTATGAGTATTGGAAACCAAGGATGATTGCATTCTTGAAATCTATAGACTACAAGGCTTGGAGAGCTGTGAATTCAGGCTGGGAGCATCCTGTGAAGACTGACAAGGATGGAGTATCTGTGCTAATTCCTGAAGAAGAATGGAACAAAGAACAAAAGGCTCTAGCTCTTGGGAACTCTAAAGCCTTGAATGATTTATTCAATGGCATAGATAAAAACATCTTCAGGCTGGTACACCACTGTGAACTAGCAAAGGATGTTTGGGACACTCTCAGAACTACTCATGAAGGAACTTCCAAGGTCAAAATGTCAAGACTTCAAATGCTGACCACCAAAGTTGAAGGTCTAAGAATGAAGGAAGATGGGCCCATTCATGAGTTTTACATGAATGTTCTTGAACTTGCAAACACCTCAGGAGCCTTAGGTGAAAAGATGGCTGAAGAGAAGCTTGTAAGGAAGATTCTCAGGTCCTTACCTAAAAGGTTTGCTATGAAAGTAACAACCATTGAAGAAGCCCAAGACATATGCAACGTGAAGGTGGATGAACTTATAGGTTCTCTCCAAACATTTGAGATGGGCATGTGTGATCAGTCTGTGGAGAAAAAGAGCAAAAGTATAGCTCTGGTCTCAAACACTGCTGATTTAGATGAAGAAGATGGTGAAAAGGAAGAAAATTTGTCATAAGCAATAACACTACTTGGAAGATAATTTAGTAAACTGATCAAAAGGATAGATCAGAAGTCAAAAACCTATATCAAAAACAGCTCCTCTGACAGCAGCCAAGCTGAAGACAAAGCTGGCCAAAGCAAAGGAGTCCAATGTCATGAGTGCGAAGGATATGGACATGTTAGGAGGGAATGTCCCACATACCTCAAAAAGAAGGGAAAAGGCCTAACTGTCACTTGGTCTGATGAAGACTCAGGAAGTGAATCAGAAGGAGAGTCTGCCAAGCATGTCACTGCTTTCAACAGTGTATGCATGTCTGAAGGGAACTCAAGTGAAGAAGAATTGACTTTTGAGGAAATTACAGATTCATATCAAAAGCACAGAACTGTACCAGCAGGGAGAGCAACAAAAGAAAATCATCAAGGAATTAGAAGCTGAAAAGAGAGAGCATCTAGCCACAATAAAGACACTCAGAAGTGAAGTGAATGAGTTGAAAGGTAAAAAGGATCAAATGACAAAATCCATAAGGATGCTCAATTCTGGGACTGACACCCTAGAGGAAATCCTTCAGATTGGTCAGACCTCAAGAGATAGGTCTGGACTAGGATTTGTTGAGAGACAAAATCCTGTGTTGAAACTCAAGAGATTACAACCTGAGATTCAAAGGTTAAAAAGGATGTCATGACCAATGTCACAACATCCACCCCACAAAAACTGGAATCAAGTCAAAAGACAATTCCAAAGGCATAGTTGTTACCACTGTGGAAAACTTGGGCATATTAAAGCTGTGTGCTTCTGGCCGCATGGATTTCCAAGTCAAGAAAAAGCCAAACAAGGCACTCATGGCAAAAGACAGTCATGTGCCACACTCAAGAAGGAGGTTGTGCCTTACAAGCAAAGAAATTGGATGGCCAAGGAGGTTGGTCTGATAGCACACACATCTCTAAGAGTGTCAGCTAAAGAAGACTGGTACTTTGACAGTGGTTGCTCCAAGCATATGACTGGTATTAATAATCTCTTGGTAGACATCAAGTCACATTCCTCGAGTTATGTGACCTTTGGTGATGGGGAAAAAGGGGAAATCAAAGGTGTTGGAAAATTAGAGAGCCCTGGAGTTCCTAACCTAACCAATGTGCTACTGGTAAAAGGACTAACTGCCAACTTGATCAATATCAGTCAGCTCTGTGATCAAGGACTAAGTGTGAAGTTCTCTAAAGGAGAATGTATGGTCATAAATGGTAAAGATGAAGAAGTGATGAAGGGGCTGAGATCCAAAGACAACTGTTATTTGTGGGAGCCAAAAGACATTAGTAAGTCCACAATGTGCTCTGTGGCAAGAGAAGAACAGGAAGTAAAATTATGGCACCAAAAACTTGGGCATCTTCATTTAAGGGGAATGAAGAAGATCATCTCCAAGGAGGCTGTAAGAGGAATCCCTAAACTGACTATTGAAGAGGGAAAAGTATATGGGGAATGTCAAGTGGGAAAAACAGACCAAG